CATAAAAAAATATTTTATTTATTTTTTTCAAATATTTTTTTTTTTTTTTTTATATATAAAATTTAAAAAAAATTTTTTTTTATAAAATAAAAAAATCAAATATTTTTTAATTTTTTTTTTTAAACCTTTTTTTTTTTTTTTTAATTTTTTTTCTTGTTTAGACGAAAGCCAACGAGTTTCATCTTTTATATTAAATTATGACAATCAATTTCATTTTAACTCTCGTTTCCTAAATATACAACAAAGTTCCAGAATAACGGCTTTGACTATTTTTTTTTTTTTTTAAGCTATAACCGGGAGTTAGCGTGGCAACGAAAGTTTCCAAGCCAACATTCTGGTTTTTCTTTCTTATCACCTATTGTAATCCTTCAATCATTTTTTGAAATAGAAACTCAAAATACGATTTCTAAATGAGCGTCCAAAAACAATTAATACAGTATATTGAAAGCAATTAATATATACGATATATCGCATGCCGCATGCGCAGATAACGATAATCTGTTTCACTCTTTCAGTGTGAAACATCGGGATTTCTCCTTGGCTTTCATTTCCAACAGGGTGCATGCATTGTTGGTAATTAATTCGAGTGATTGAAAAAAAAAATAGTAGTTGAATATTTCAATGAAGTAGTTCGATGCAGACACATTCGTATTCATATGCGTTGTTCTAAATTTACGAAAACCAACTCAAATATATAAAATAGGACATGATACGAACTAAATATGTGACGTGTGTGTTTGTTAAAAATATATGGTACTAGTCTCACCTTTGGTTAGTCAATAATCGACAAATAGCATGAGAGAAATTAATTCATTATTAGTTTAGTTCGCTAGGATTTTCCACGCATCAATGACCGTCTATCACAATGTGGAATCTCTGTGGGAAAGCATGCCAAGGAAGAATGCATATGACTTTCTTGTTAATACCTACTCAACATTTAATGATTTCATCACAAGTAATGTGGTAAGAAGAGGAGCCAGAAATATTTGTTGCTTCCACCACAGACCGAAGCAGCATTTTCGTTTGTATGCACGTGTCACGCCAGACGCATATTTGTTTTGATGCACGGAAAAATTAAGGAAATGTTGATCGCGTCTTCGCGTAATTACGTAAAGTTAACAATCGAGAGTATTTAAAAACCACGTGACGAAGCTTGCGTGGCCAATCATTTTAAAGTATTTGTCTTTTAAAAATATCTTTGGAAAACCACAGTTTGTTGGATATTTTTGGAGATTGTTGCAGAAAATTTGTTAAAAAAAGAATCAGTGGTCAGATGGCTTGGACTCCGGAGATTTGTCTGACGATCACAATAACATAATATTGAGGTATAAGAATTGTCTCGCCTCTTTCATCATTCTTTCTTTCTCGGGTTCAACTTGAATAATCTAAATCATAGTTCCCACTTTTTTTCCCGATTCGTCAGTCTCACCAGGCATACAATGCATGTATCATGGCGCTAAGCGTCGCCGCGATTCGTTCCTAAAAATAATCACATAAAAAACAAGTGTCGAAATATAACTGATGGTGTTTTTTTTTTTTTTTCTTATTGTTTTGTAATTTTTTTTCGTAGTTTTTTTAAAAAGAGTAATGTGCCGTGTATATACTATGTATCACAAGATTACACTATAAAAAATTTTAAAATACTCTTACAGTATATGTATATCTAAAACGCTTTGTGTCTCCTGCCATGACAGTACATGGTGATAAATAGGAAATAGGGGGGTAAATCTTGAAAACACGTATATATATTATACGCACTGAAATTGCTAACATCTTTTTCCAAAAATCATTCTTCCTTCAAAATTATGTTTAATTCTCTTCACAAAGATTACATTGACAAATAAATTATTCTTTTTTTCTTTTTCCTTCTTTTACGAAAAAAAAAAAAAAAAATACATTACCAGGTTTCGGTAAAGTCTTTTCATATTCGGTCTACATTTTACGTTTCCTATTTGGTGACGTGCCGTTATTGACGGGGACACGTCATTTTTAAAACTCTATCAAGAGAAACAATCGTTTCCCCTTAATCTGCAGCATAATTAATTCTTAAATAAGAATCACACGCAATATACAAATGGTTTCCTTCCGGAAAAGCAAATCGTTTGAAAATGATAACAAGGATCAACCTGAGTTCGAGTTCATCGAATTTGGATCATTTGCACAGTTGACTCCTTTGACCACGAGAAAGTCAGGAAATCAAACCGATGATGACGGTCGCGGAAAAATATTTTGGGCGATTTGGGGAAATGATAGAATTCCTGTGGTTTTGAAGTCAGTGAAATTTAACGCCGCGGACGAGAAAAATATTGAGGCGCGCAAGGAGAACAAGATCGAAAATGGAACTCGCGAGAAAAGTGATGAACGAGACCCAAGTGTCACCGAGTCAATTTTGAACGAGGTTAGTGATTGCGTTTTGGTCGAGTTATCCGAGCGATTTAGTCTGACAATTACTGATAGATTTTTGATCCAACACAAAAATCTAAACTTTTTATTTAAACTATGCGCAATCTTACATCTGTCAATCGTCGTTGCGCAATGAAGTTAAAGTTGCTTTCAAGGGTTATCCATCATCCAAATATCACAGAAATCTTTGGATTAACCGAGGGTAAGACATACAGCTAAACACTGTCGTGAAACTTGGTCCGTTCATCGGAAACTTTTTTTTTTCACCAAAATTCTTTGTCTCACCTCTCACAGTTCCCGAACTTGATGACTTATTCGTGGTGACGCAATACACTACCGGAGGAAACCTTCGACAATACTTGAAACAACAAAATTCTATTCTGTCGTGGAACGATAGAATAAGATTTTCAAAAGAGATAGCATCCGGACTGCGGTGCATACATGACGCCGGATTCTCACATCGAAATCTCGTAAGTTTTTTTTTTTTTTGACGTTTCGTGGTTCCCGTCCACCTGCGCCATTCGTGCTCATGTTCTTTTATTCAAATTTTACGCGTCAATCATCAAACAACAGCACCCACATAATATATTGGTGCAAGACGGGCATATGAAGATTTCGGATTTGGAGTTTTCTGCATTGAAATATTCGCCTTCAAATTCGGCGGTACATCTCGAGGAAACGATACCGTTCATTGAGCCGCTCTACTTAAAAGATCAATCC